GAGCCCGCCGCGCAGGACGTGAGCCTGGGCTTGGTGAGTACGGGGCCTCCTGGCTTCTGGGGTTCGTAGGGGGTCGGGGAGAGGGAAGCCGGTGCCACCTAGGTCAGGCTGGCCAAACGTCCAAAGAGTGACTGGGGATGGGGTGTGGGGACCGGGGTTCTTGGATCCGTCAAGTTTGGGAACCCGATTTGAAGATTTGGGATGGGACTAGGGTGGCAGGGCGGGGACCAGGATTCTTGGGTCCTGATGGAGGCTGGCGGCAAACCCGGGGCTGGAGGACAGGACCTTGAGAGGGGAGCAGGCACGCACCTGGGGCTGGAAGCCTGGGTCCCTAACTGGTGAGAGGTGGGACGTTCAGAAGGCGGTGGGAAGGCAGAGTCCCATCCCTCCCGCCCTTCCCGCTTCACCTGTTCACTTCCACGGTCCAGGACTGGTTGACCCGCTATGGCTACCTGCCGCCACCCCACCCATCCCAGGCCCAGCTGCAGAGCCCTGCGAAGCTTCGGGATGCCATCAAGGTGATGCAGAGGTTTGCTGGGCTGCCTGAGACCGGCGTCCTGGGTAGGTGGCCCCCAGCCCCTTCCCAGCCCTGCCTCTGCACCCAGCCTGACCATTACCCAGCCGTTCTTAAACCTCGGCATGCACCTGAATCACGGGAGTTATGACAGTGCTGATCCCAGGTCTTAACCCAAGAAGTTCTCAAGTATTCCTCTTTCAATAAATATTTATCGAGAATCTCTTACATGAGAGGCCATTTCAGCTCCGCTCGTACAGCCGTGAACAAAGTAGATAAGGTCCCTGCTCTCATGGAGCTGACCTTTTAGAGACAGATACATTTTAGAGATCAGAAACAGAAATATGCAAGATAATTTCAGATAGTGGTGTTTTGGGAAGAAAATAAAGTGCTAATGGTATTGAGGGTCTGGTCAGGTCAGGGTGCTCTGAAAGGTGTCATATGAGTCAAAAGGAGTTCCTATAAGACAAAGAACTCATAGAACACAAAGAGGAGGAGCCAGCCATGGGAAGATGTAGGAGAAGAATGTACCAGGCCAGTGCAAAGGCCCTGTGGCATGCACAGGCTGTATGCCTGTGAAGAAAGGGGACTGAGGAGCTAAGCAAATGCCTGATTGGGGGAGGAGGCTTGAAAGGTGTTTGGGTTTGATTCCAAAGTCAGTAAGTAAGAAACCATGGGAGGGTTTGAAGGAGGAAGGCAACTTAGTCTGTTTTGCAGTTTTACATTTCCTCTGGTTGCTGATGGAGAATGGCGGGTGGGGAACACAGAGGCCAGGAAGAAGTAATGCAGTGTCCAGGCAAGGGATGATGGTGGCCTGGATTAAGGTGGAAGGTGTGATGAGAAGTGGTTGAATCCAGGGTGCACATTTTGGAGGTAGAGCCGAGAGGCTCATCTGTTGGGTTAAATGGGGAAGGAGAGAGAACTGGTAGATTCCTGGCTAGCTATGAGGGAAGGCAGAGTCTTCCCCTGTCCTGTCCACTGACCAGCAGGGTTTGGCATCTACATGTGCTCAATTACACTTTGTGACCTCAACCATCTGGTGAGATTTGACTTTCTTTTGAAGATGAGGAGACTTCTAGAAATTGAGCTCAGCTGGAAAAGGGGATTTCAGGCAGCTCTGACCCCTGGGAAGGGGTGGCTAGCTACAGGAAACCAGAGACCCAGCTGGCATGGGGACTTTGGACTTTATCTTGACATGATGGGGTCCTGAGAGCTATGGTGTGGGGTGCGGGCAACCTCCCAGGGGTTTTCAGCTTCAAAGAGAAGAGTTTTCACTGTACCCCCAGGGCTCCTTTCTTGAGTCCAACTGCCAAGGCTCAGGGAAGCAGGACCCCAAGATCCCTGCCTGAGGCTCTAGGCACCACTTGGAGGCAGCCAGTCAGTCCTCCTAGAGCCAGGTGCAGAGGGGCAGTGTCATAATTTGGTATGAGCTGGCTTACAGGATTAGACTTCATGGAATCAAAGCCAAGTGAGGCAAGTTTCTGAACCTCTCTGAACCTGTTTCCCCATGGAGAAAGTTAGCTGGTACCATGATTAGGGCAGATTGTCCTTCCGCTGATCTCACTCCCCCAACCTCTCCCACAGACCCAGTGACAGTGGCCACCATGCATAAGCCCCGCTGCTCCCTGCCCGATGTGCTGGGGGTGGCAGGGCTGGTTAGGAGGCGCCGCCGCTATGCTCTGAGCGGCGGTGTTTGGAAGAAGCGAACCCTGACATGGAGGTAGGTCCTGCTGCCCC